ACACATACAGGCTATCTGACAGAATAAAAGATTAAAAAAGAAGTAAATTTTTAAAGAACTGTATAGAATGTCAAAATTTAAGTGAGCATGTTCCCCTGCCCCTCAGTGTAATCAAGTTCCACAAGAATTACAGTTTTAGTCAATTGGTTGTGAGGCAAGTTGAAGTAAGACCAAAAATGTATCAAATATTTTTTACATCAACAAAAATATTTACAAAGGTAGTTATCTAACTCATATACCATGTGCCATTTTAAAATCCTTAGTACAGCCAGGATTTCTTCTCAATGTTAAAGTAAGCAATTTTACAGCTATACTTCCTGAGGAATCAGTATTGCCCCACAGAGTTTCAAAGTAATGATAAACTTTTAGGTCAGAATTTAGCTTTATGTTTAGTTCTATAATCTGTCAAGTGATAGATGTAGGCTCGACTAAGTGCCAGTGGCATACACAAGTAGATAAAAAAGAAGAAAAGGAATCAGAAGGAAAATTAGATATAGAGTGCAGTCGTAGAAGCTGCATTGTCTGTTATATGTTGCCCCTTGGTGTAAATCCACACCTAACTCCAGGAAAAAAAAAAAAAGAAGAAGAAGAATGGGGTAGGAAATACTCATTTTGCTTCTGAAAAAAAAAAAAAAAAAAAAAAAAAAAAAACATTTTAAAAAAAAAAAAAAAAAAACACACTCTACCATATGTCGCTGGACTCCCACGTAGTCGACCGCGGTTCACGTCCTGGACCCGGTGGCTTAAAACTCACACCGGGCACGTGTGAGTGCGTGCCCAAGATTCTGAGAGGAGAATGGAGAAGAGATTGCAGCATGACCATCCCCCCTGGGGGTGATTTCTCGCTTTCTGTCTCTATGTCTCTCTCTGTCTGTCTGGCAAGTGCATGCGCCCTATACGAAAAACCTCCCCCAAATAAATAAATAAATAAATAAATAAATAAATAAATAAAATAGAAAAGTGTTCATGTGTTAACTTGACAGATTCAAACTTTCTAAGAGATTAACTTAGAGGAGCAAAATTGATTAGTTGCTTGGTGGTGTTTTCTGATGAGAAGCTTAAATTTTGTTGAAGAGAAATGATTAATCTCATAACTCTTAAAAAGTTTTGAAACTTCATATGACAAGTAGCCATATTGGAAAAGGAGAATATAACATTTGCAGTTATAGCTTTAACCTCTTGGAGATTGCCAGGCTGTATCTTTAATTTACCTTGGTCATATATGTGGTATAATTCAAGACATTTGAAAAGTTCTTGGGGAATATAGCTTAAGAATTGAACTTAAGCTTATTAATATTTAACTGGAGTCTCCAACTTACAGCTGGAGACTTCAAGCCAATGCAATTCAAAAAAGGAGGATACATCTTGATAACACCAGATATTATTTTTGCTTTGTTTTGATTTTGCTATGGGGCGCATGCACTCACCAGAGAGAGACAGAAAAAGAAAGGGGAAATGATATGTCACTTCCCATGGAGGATGACCATGCTACAATCCTTTCTCTTCCATTCTCCTCTCAGGATTTTGGGAATGCACACACATGCCACCTAGAATGTTTTTCAAGTCACTGAGTCTCGAACTTTGATCCTCATAGTTGGCCATGTAGGATCCAGTTGTTTTAACCACCATGCCACCTGGCTGGCTCAATAGCCAATTGTATCTTATGTATCATAGCATCAAAAAGTAGACATTTGAGGGACCAGCAATTAGTGTAATGGCTATGTCGCTGGACTCCCATGTAGTCGACTGTGGTTCCAGTCCCGGCCCAGGCAGCTTAAACTCATGCCAGGCTCGTGTGCATGCGTGCCCAAGATCCCGAGAGGAGAATGGAGGAGAAGGGATTGCAGCATGGCCATCCCCCCCCCGGGGGGGGGCGGGCATTTCTTGCTTTCTGTCTCTCTGTCTCTGTCTTTCTGGTGAGCACATGTGCCCTGTAGCTAAAACCTCTCTGAGAAAAAAAAAAAGTAGACATTTGTGGGGACTGGACAGTGGCACAAAGGTAAAACCTGGTGCTTTTGAAATTTTTATTTTATTTTGTTTTATTTTATTTTATTTGTTTATTTTGCTAAGGGCACACACACTCACCAGAGAGAGGCAGAGAGAGAGAGGGGGAAAGTGAAAAAGCAAGCCACCAGGTCTGGGACTCAAACCATGGTCAGTCATGTGTGATTTCAGCACCTTAACCACCATACTCCCTGCCAGTCCCAAAGCCCTGATGCTTATGAAGCTGCCCCACATGGGAAGATTCCTAGTTTTGCAGACCTTTGAGTATAACCAGATATGCAAATCCTCTTAATCTGGGACCATCTGAGGCTAGGGGTAAGTCACCGTGTCAATTGACGTCCTGTTAGGGTCTTTTTCTCTCACTCTTAGAAGAAATAAGTGGGACCAGCAGTTGGTGTAATGGCTATGTTGCTGGACTACCATGTAGTTGACCGTGGTTCAAGTCCCGGACCCCGTGGCTTAAACTCACACCGGGCGCATGTGCATGCATGCCCAAGATCCCGAGAGGAGAATGGAGGAGAAGGGATTGCGGCGGGGCCATCCCCCCCGGTGATTTCTTGCTTTCTGTCTCTCTGTCTCTCCCTATCTTTCTGGCGAGTGCACAAGCCCTATAGCAAAAACCTCTCCAAAGAAAAGAAGAAGAAGAAATAAGTAAAAACTTTAAAAAATTTTTTGGTTCAACCTGTGTGGTGCAATCTATAGTGTACAGGTTTACAGTGCTGGAAGCCACATTGCTGACTGCAGGTTCAGATTTCTAGCCCTGCCAGCCTGAAATGCACCAGGCATGTGCATACTCGGGATCCTAAGGAGCTGGAGGGCTGAGAGAATCATGGTGTGATCAGACACTGTTAAAGGTATGCACGCACACTTACATACATGTTTTGTCTTTTTAGTGTGCACTCACATGCATTCTCTATCATAAGTAGAAGAAATTTATTTTAAAAAAAGAAAAGTAAACTTTAAAAAAGAAATTTTGCCAGAGGGCACATACTCTTACCATAGAGACAGACAGACACACAGACAGAAGGAGAAAGCACCCCTTAGTGGGGCATGATTACACTGTAGTTCCTTCTGTATTTCTTCATCCTGTCAGGATTTGTGGCACACACATACACTTAGCTAGCATGTTTTAAAAATAGACATTTAGAGCCAGCTAGGTGATAGAGTGGTTAAGGTGCCCAGATCCCACATGGTTGACTGTATAGTTCAAGTCCACGACCTGGTGGTTTGAAAAACATGCCGGGGGGGACCAGCAGTTAGTGTAATGGCTATGTTGCTGAACTCCCATGTAGCTGACCGCAGTTCGAGTCCTGGACCCGGTGGCTTAAACTCATGCCGGGCACGTGTGCGTACATGCCCAAGATCCTGAGAGGAGAATGGAGGAGAAAGGATTGCGATGTGGCCATCCCCCCGAGGGGTGATTTCTCGCTTTCTGTCTCTCTCTCTCTCTGTCTTTCTGGTGAGCGCACACGCCCTATAGCGAAAATCTCTCAAAAAAAAAAAAAAAGAGAAGAAAAACATGCCAGGTGCCTGTGCATGTGTGCCCAAAATCCCAGGGGAGAATGGAGGAGAATGGTTTGTAACATGGTCCTCTCCCTTTAGGATGCTTTCTCACTTTACTGCTTTCTGTGACTCTCTTCAGCAAACTTACATACTCTATAGCGAATTAAAATATAATAATTTTTTTAAATAGACATTTAAATCATGATTTATAGTCAGTAAATTCTAGAAGTTAACTAGTTCTAGAATGAAATAACTGGTTATTTTGGGAATTTTAAACTTTGTGTGTGTGTGTGTTTGCAGCAATGAAAACTACTGGATGTAACTTAGATAAGGTAAATATTCTTCCCAATGCCCTGATCACTCCACTCATATCAAGCAGTATGATTAAGAGTGAAGATGTTACTCCAATGGAAGTAACAGCAGAAAAAAGATCTTCTCCTATTTTTAAGGTGAGCTATCTTGACTAATGGCCTAGATCTTAATTTCACATATGAAAATTGCTGTATTTTACCTTTCCTGTTTCTTTCACATTTGTTTTGCTTTAGAGTCACCTAATGAATTTTGGTTTTCAAAATTAATGCTTTATATTTCAGCAAAATTGCCCACAAGTGATTTCAATATAAATTTTGATAAGGGAGACACTAATATGTTAGCTAGACCTGTGGAATATGATTAATCAAAATACTAATTTTAGCACTATCAGAATTAAAGACATTTTTATTTATTTTTCTTTCTGTCTTTTCCTATAACTACTTCTCCCTTTTTCACTTCCCCCCCCTTATAATGTTACTAATGACTATAAAATTAAGGTATTTTTGAAATCTGCTATTCATGAACTGTAGAATCACTGTGTTCTTACTACCCTTTATTTGTCTAAACGTGTCAATGGCTGACCATTCTTTTACTTTCTTGTTTGGCTGTCTTTGTTTATAATACTTTAAAATATATATCCAATAACAGATATCATGTTATTGCAGAGAATCACAATCTTGTACTTGTTTCTAAAGTAGAAAATTATCCCTTCATATGTTTTCAGAATAGTAATTTTTGAAATATTATGTGAGCTTATTAATGTTTACATATACATATTTTGGGGGAATTTTTTTTTGTTTAGACTACAAAGACAGTTGGATCAACTCAGCAAACATTAGAAAATATCTCTAACATAGCAGGAAGCGGATCTTTTTCATCACCACCATCTTCCCACTTACCTTCTGAAAACGAAAAGCAGCAGCAGATACAGCCAAAAGCGTACAACCCAGAGACTCTGACAACTATCCAAACACAGGACATCACACAGCCTGGTACCTTTCCAGCAGTCTCTGCTTCCAGTCAGCTGCCCAATAGCGATGCACTGCTGCAGCAGGCATCTCAGTTTCAAACGAGAGAGACTCAATCAAGAGAGGTACTGCAGTCAGATGGTACAGTGGTTAATTTGTCACAACTAACTGAGGCATCACCGCAGCAGCAACAATCACCACTGCAAGAACAAGCACAGACTTTACAGCAGCAGATTTCATCAAATATTTTTCCATCACCAAGTAGTGTGAGTCAGCTACAGAACACTATTCAACAGTTGCAAGCAGGGAATTTTACAGGCAATACTGCTAGTGGCAGCAGTGGGAGCGTTGACTTGGTCCAACAAGTTTTAGAGGCACAACAACAGTTATCTTCAGTTTTATTTTCTGCTCCAGATGGTAATGAAAGTGTTCAAGAACAGCTTAGTGCAGATATTTTTCAACAAGTCAGTCAGATTCAGAATAGTGTAAGCACTGGGATGTTTTCTTCAACAGAGCCAGCAGTTCATACCAGACCAGATAATTTAATAGCTGGAAGAGCTGAGAGTGTTCATCCCCAGACTGAAAACACATTATCCAGTCAACAACAGCAACAACAGCAACAGCAAGTGATGGAATCATCTGCTGCAATGGTGATGGAGATGCAACAGAGTATCTGCCAGGCTGCTGCCCAAATTCAGTCAGAGTTATTCCCTTCAACTGCTTCAGCAAATGGAAACCTTCAACAATCACCCGTGTACCAGCAGACTTCACACATGATGAGTGCACTATCTAACAACGAGGACATGCAGATGCAATGTGAATTATTTTCTTCTCCTCCTCCAGTTTCTGGAAATGAAACTTCTACAACCACCACACAGCAGGTTGCAACCCCAGGCACTACCATGTTTCCGACATCAAGTTCAGGAGATGGAGAAGAAACTGGAGCACAAGCAAAACAAATCCAGAGCAGTGTCTTTCAGACCATGGTTCAAATGCAGCATAGTGGAGAAAGTCAACCTCAAGTTAACCTTTTTTCATCTACAAAAAGTATGATGAGTGTCCAGAGTAGTGGGACTCAACAACAAGGTAATGGTTTATTCCAGCAAGGTAATGAGATGATGTCACTTCAATCTGGGAATTTTTTGCAGCAGTCTTCTCATTCACAGGCTCAGCTTTTCCATCCTCAAAATTCTATTGCTGATGCTCAGAACCTTTCCCAGGAAACTCAAGGTTCTATTTTTCATAGTCCAAATCCTATTGTCCACAGTCAGACTTCTACAACGTCTTCGGAACAAATGCAGCCTCCCATGTTTCACTCTCAGAGTACCATTGCTGTGTTACAAGGCTCTTCAGTTCCTCAAGACCAACAGTCAACCAACATATTTCTTTCCCAGAGTTCTATGAATAATCTTCAGACTAACACAGTAGCTCAAGAAGAACAGATTTCATTTTTTGCAGCCCAGAACTCAATTTCTCCACTTCAGTCAGCCTCAAATTCTGAACAGCAAGCTGCTTTCCCACAGCAAGCTCCAATATCACACATTCAGACCCCTATGCTTTCCCAAGAACAGGCACAACCCTCTCAGCAAGGTTTGTTTCAGCCTCAGGTGTCACTGGGCTCCCTTCCACCTACTCCATTGCCTCAGAACCAACAAGGGACAATTTTCCAATCACAGCACTCAATAGTTGCCATGCAGAGTAACTCTCCATCCCAGGAGCAACAGCAGCAACAGCAGCAGCTTGCAACATTGATGGTGGAACTGAAGTTTCCATTTGGCTTGGAGTCTTGCAATTTATATGGCTGCTGAGATTCATACAGAAAGACAGGGCAGATAAGCACGCTGTTATTCCATTTCTCTTCTCAAACGTGAAGTATATGCTAAATACCAGCAGCAGCAGCAGCAGCAGCAACAGCAGCAGCAGCAGAGCATTTTATTCAGTAATCAGAATACCATGGCCACAATGACATCTCAAAAGCAACCACCTCCGAACTTGATATTTAACCCAAATCAAAATCCAATGGCTAATCAGGAGCAACAGAATCAGTCAATTTTTCACCAACAAGGTAATATGGCCCCAATGAACCAAGAGCAGCAGCCCATGCAATTTCAGAATCAGCCTACAGTTACTTCACTTCAGAACCCAGGTCCTACCCAGTCTGAATCATCACAGACCTCCTTGTTCCATAGCTCTCCTCAGATTCAGTTGGTACAAGGGTCACCAAGTTCTCAAGAGCAGCAAGTAACACTCTTCCTCTCTCCAGCATCCATGTCTGCCTTGCAGACCAGTATAAACCAACAGGACATGCAACAGTCCCCTCTTTATTCCCCTCAGAACAACATGCCCGGAATCCAAGGGGCCACATCTTCAACTCAGCCACAGGCTCCTTTATTTCACAACACTGCAGGAGGCACAATGAACCAACTACAGAGTTCTCCTGGCTCATCTCAGCAGACTTCAGGAATGTTCTTATTTGGCATTCAAAATAGTAAGAAACTCTCATTTCTCATTACTTAATTAAAATAGTTATTATTTGAAGGAAGCAAAAGGCAGTAGTTTTAAGACCACAGATTGTAGTTAGGATTCTACCATTTACAGACTATGAGATCTCGGACAAGTTATTTGGCCTTTATGAGCCTCAATTTCCACATCTAAAATGACAATATTACATACTTGGCAAGGATATGGGAGGATTACATATGATAATATATAAAAATGTATGTGTGCCATTTTAAATTATAAACTTGAAAGGAAAATGAAGTAAGAATGACAGATAATGTGCTTGCTTCAGCAGCACATGTACTAAAAAAGAATGACATAATATCTCAGCCAACTAAAGTACATTCTAAGGAAGTAGAAATCCATCTTTAATGTTTATATATCAAGGAAATTATATAGGATTTAGGATGATATCTAAGCGAAGTTGTATTTTGATACTGTTTAAAAGAAACCTAAGATGAATTCCATTACCATGCTATGAAAATCTTTTTCTTGGACTGTTAAGTGTTTCACTTTTAGTAATATTCTGGGTGAATGCAGTAATGAATTTCCCCTCAGCATCTAATAAATACCTTCTCATGAATCTTAACTAATCAGGTAGCTTCTATTTTCAATATCTCTGCAGACTGTAGTCAGCTTTTAACCTCTGGACCAGCCACATTGCCAGATCAGTTGATGGCCATAGGTCAGCCAGGCCAACCACAAAATGAGGGCCAGCCACCTGTGACAACACTTCTTTCTCAGCAAATACCAGAGAATTCTCCACTGGCATCCTCTATAAACACCAACCAGAATATCGAAAAGATTGATTTGCTTGTTTCATTGCAAAACCAAGGGAACAACTTGACTGGCTCTTTTTAACTGGATATGTAAGTATTACATTTTGGATTCTTATTAAAAAACATAAATTTTTTTTTTCTTTATTCATGATAGAGCACATGAGTGTGCCCAACAGAAGAGAGAGTTGAGCACCCTTCAGAGTCTACTCATGCTGTGATCCCCTTCTTCCAATCCTCCAGTCCTCCTGCTCATCTTGGGCACTCACTTGTGTGCCCTGCTTGTTTCGGGCTAATGGCAAACTGCTATCACCACGTGGCATCTGACTTCTCTTGAGTATTACTGCTGCTCTACCCAGCTGACCCTTTTTTTTTTTTTTTTTTTTTTTTTGAGAGAGAGAGATTTTTCACTGTATGGCATGCATACTTGCCAGAGAGACAGACAGAAAGTGAGAAATCACCTCCCCTCAGGGGAATGGCCATGCCACTATCCCTTCTCTTCATTCTTCTCTCGGGATTTTGGGCATACACACACATGCACCTGGCATGAATGTTAAGCTGCTGGGCCCGGGGCTTAAAACTGCAGTCGACTACATTGGAGTCCAGCAACGTAACTATTATACCATCTGCTGGTCCCTGAGTGGCCAAAATTGTATTCTCTTTAACAGATTCGGGTTAAGTAATAGCACTACTTAGACTATTAATTATTCAAAATATGGCTAAAAGGTGGCACTTTTTTACTCAGAATGGATTACTCTGAATGATAGCTTATGGTTGTATTGTTAATATTGTACATTCCTTTTGGCTCTAAGTTTCCTTTGGAATGACAGAGCATCTGATGAATGCAAAATGTTTTTCCTTCATATTATGCATTGAATATGATAGTGTCTTATCTCTTCTTCATGAAAGTAAATGAATCAGAAAAGTCTGTAAGTTTCATTTATAGTATGTAATATACTTTGGGATCATTCAGGGTGATGAGAGGAACTTGATAAATACTTTCCCTCCCTTGTGAGTTATAGTAAACTTTTTCTTTTTTTTAGAAATTCCACAAGGAAAATCCTGATTCCAAGATGGCCTGAGATGTGTGGCTCCACGAAGATTATTGAATTGTTCCTTTAAAAACAAAACAAAATATGAAAAACTACATTTGAGTAAATGGATAGATTTTACTCTTGACTGCAAAAGAGCACATCTTGCTGCTTGTTGCAGTGATTAGCCACCGATGTTAACATCTTCGTGTTTTATGTTCCTAATAACAGTGATGACTGAGAATCTACTTGAGTTTCCAGCTGACAGAATTAATTGTCGCTATTTTCCTAGGCACAGTTTCTTTAAAAATATGGTTTAAATTCAAGGCTGGACCTCTCAGTTATTATTGCTATTAGAAAATATTATTTGTCATGCTTAATTTGTTCATTGATTTCTTTCCTGCATTGTTTTAGTCAGGTAATGGCTTTTGAAAATGTAAAGTTCAGTAATAACTATGGCTGTGATTCTTTTACTTTGAAAAGCACAGCTGCTGGCCAAAGTGAAGAAATCTTTTTTCAGTTTTTATGGAGAAACTGAGGGGTAACATTCTGATAAGTGAGCTGTATTAAGAACTATACACAGATAAGAGGAGTTTTGATTTAAAGTAAAGGTAGATGACAACTGGGGACAGCTGGAATGCTATTGGTTTTATTTTTCAGAGAGTTGTTAGTTTTCTGTTTCTACTGAAGGGGTTAGCCTTAACTGTGCTTAGAAAATAATTGCCTTGCTCTATAAAAAATGAAGGGCATAATACGTGGTAAATTCAGATATCCTCCTACAGTAGTTTAAACTGACAAATTAATTTGAGTCTGTTTTCTTCCTAACCCAGACTTAGGCTGGTATTCCCTTTATGCACACATCTATATTATTTTCTTAATCTCTTTTTCACTTTACTTTAGACAACTATTAATAACTACTGGCTTTGTGATCCTGTAGCAACTTAAAGGAAAAGGCCACATTGATCTAGGGTGACCTAGCAATCCTGCAGCACAGAGCAGGGAATACTCTTAGGAATTATTGGATGTTGATTCCTGAGATACAATATATATTTTTTTCCATGAACGGTGCTGTTCTGAAGTCTTCAATTTTTTTCCCTCTAATAGTATAAATTTTAATTTAAAAAAAATCAAACAAATTTGTTGAAACATCATTTTTCCCTGAGCTGCAGTGAGTATAATTCACTTGTCACCTCAGTGCTTTACAGTTTCAAGTGGTCACTTACCTGATGGTTCCCATAAGCCTTAGGCTTTACAGGGTCATTATCATTGACTTAAAATGAAGAATTAACTTGTTACATCTAAAAGAGCAAAATAACACACTCCAGAACTTGCAGTTGTAGCATTAGTTACTACAGTTTTGGGTGTTCTTATCACCCATGGGATGCCTGCTTCTCACTACCGCCTGTGTCTGGACACGTGCTTATGTCTCATTTTCCTTTGGGCATGTGGAAAGTTGTCAGTGCAGTGTAAGGCCAACATGTGTGTGGCTTCTGTGTGTTGATAAAATGTTTTGATATCCTTGTCCTGTTCATTTTTTAAGTGTACAAAAAACAGCCTGTTGATTCTTATTGAAGGCTACTTTTCTGTTTGATTTTTTTTTTCTATCCTATACATTTAATTGAACTGTATGGAATTGTGATATTGGTTTTGTTTATACAGCTAGATTTTCCTCCCTTTTTTTGTGATGGTCTTCCTTTGTTCTTTGGATGTGTTCTTCTAGTTTTTTTCTCTCTTTTTTTCTCATATGTTCTTTCTACTCCCAACCCTTTCTTTCTCTCTCTGATTGAGAGGCATTGAATTACGTTTCAGTAGTACAGGCTTCTTGCCGATATGAAGGGAACTTTTCAGAAAGAGACCTGCTCTAGGTCATTTAATTTTGAATACAGTTTTCAATCGTTCAAGTTTTGGATGGTTTATATCTAACGTGTGTTTCATTTTTTTGGAAAGCTATATTTTGTATTTAGGAAATGGTATACTATTTTGCTATTTGTACTGAGTGAGTACATTGGCATAAATATAGAAATTTATATATATACATATATATAAACTATTCTTTTTTTGCCACACATTTTTGTGGTAAATTTGTGAGTTTGTCTGATGTTCTACCACAACGTGGCGTCTGATAACAGTGAGGGGGGGTTTGTTATGTCTTTATTGAGTATTTAAGTATCTTTTGAAATAAATGACCTGTTCATCTGTGGCCATTCCATCAGGCAATTCCTTGATGTTAGTGAGCTAAAGGCAGCTTATTGTGTGTTTGCTGGGTCTTTGACTCAGCAAAATGTTAGAGTAAGGAAACCCATAAAGGCAATTGTGTCAAATGGTGTTTCACAAGAATGAGCCATTCAGTCTTTGCTCACTTTATATTTAATATTTTATTATTGTTGTTATTGTTATTAATTGGCTTTCTGTATTCTATGCCTTTTATTTATAAAGACACTAAAAATAAAACCCATGTTTGTAATTTTAATAACATTTTCCCCATCTTGTAATATCCAGAGCTACTTTATAAATTCTCTGAACCAAAAGTATTTTCTTCGATATAGCTCTTCTCCCCCGACCCCTATCAGGTAAAATTACCCAGTAGAGTTCAGGTTATGAGAAGGATCAGCCACACAATCCAGTGCTTCTGTTTTAAAATACAAAATTCTAACCCTAGAGGGCTGACTGTAATGTCAGAGAAAACAAATCCAGCAGCTAGAAAAAGTAGAAGTAAAAAACTGGTTTATTTCTGAATTTTTTTGAATTTTTTTCTAAGAGACATAGTAAAATTAAGAAATCTGTTCACTGAGTTTTAATTAGAATGTCTGTGACTACCATACTCCGAAGTGGTAAGGAGAAGACTGGCTTGTGTGCTGGCTGACTTTTGTTCTGTGGTTTAGCAAGAGGTTTATTGTTGTGAAACGTTAATTGGCAATGCCAAGTCACTGGGACCAATTTTCTGTTTTATAATATCTGAGTTTAGAACAGAACATAAACCTGAACTATAGTGGTTTGATTGGATGAAGGCAGAAAACCCAATTTTTAGTCTCATAAATTTTATGATTATTTATACAAGGGCTGTGCTATGCTCCCATATTCTTATTCAATTAATAGGGTTTTTTTACATTGGTAAATGGTCCTTACCCCTAAAGGTCAATTTTAAGTAAAACATTCTTAATATACACTTTGGTTACAAAGAGTGTTTGTCTTCTTACTGAAGAGTTAGCTCAGTGGTTGATACTTATGCTAATCAGTGCAGTTTCCCAATTACTGTTACAAGTTATAGCTGCAATGGGGGAGACTTAGAAAGCAGCAAAAGTCTTGGAAGCAACAATTTATTAAATTTATTTATGGCAGAAGGACCTAAACAAACTGTGAACCACATTTTCTTTCTTTATATTGTTACATTCAATTTGTTCTTTCGGCAACTCACATTAATGCTTGGAGCTTATCTGTGTATGTGTGTGTGTGTGTGTTAGTGCATGTGTGTGTGTTATTCTTTATTGTCATTCCACTGTAGATCCACACAAGCATGGGAGAAAATAATTAGAAGTCAAGTTTTGCTTTTCAGCTTTATCGTGTTACCTTCAAGATTAGAGTACATGTTGTTATGTAGCCAGTGCAAATCTGTTTTAACCAGTCTCCTAGAACAGGTTTTTTAAGGGCTATGTTTATTATAGAAGCAGTATTAATGAAGGATTTTTTTCACCATCCATCCCTCTATTCTTCCCTTCCTTCCATCCTTCTATCCACCCATCCATCCTCCCTTGCCTTACTTTTTGTGATAGCATATGAGCTATAGTTTAGAATTCCATTGTTATGTGTTTCCTGTCCATCAGAACCCTAGAATAAAGGAAATATGTCAAAGAAATAAGTAAATTGTATCTGAGTCCCTCCAGAACTAAGATAATTCCTTTTGGCAACTTAAGCCATTATAAATGCTTGTTTTGAAAACTGAAATCTGTTACATGCATCATAAATAAGGACCAGAATAATTTAATTTCATAATTATAGTCTGAAAGTCAACATAATTATGAATTTTCACTAGGAGTAATCTGAGAATTTGGGGACCAGCAGTTGGCATAATGGCTATGTCGCTGAACACTCATGTAGCCAACCACGGTTCGAGTCCCAGACCCAGTGGCTTAAACTTGCCAGGTGCGTGTGCATGTGTACCCAAGATCCTGAGAGGAGAATGGAGGAGAAGGGGCCATCCCCAGTAGGGGGTGATTTCTTGCTTTCTGTCTCTGTGTCTCTCAGTCTCTCTGGTGAGCACACGTACCCTATAGCAAAAACTTCTCCAAAAAAAAAAAATCTGAAAATTTGTCATCTTGGTGGTAAAAATTTGTTCTAGTATCTGTTTTTTAGTTTTTTTAAATTACTTGAAGATTATCTTATTTAACAAATTGGAAATTATACTATTAGCCTTACTCTATTTCATAACCATAGACTTCATTCATAACTAAGATAACCATTTTATGTCTGCATATCTTTGGCTCATATGGAGGGACTCAATGAAGGTGAGAGGCTATAATTCAGCATACATTAGAAAAAACTGAAACTTCGGTATATACTGTAGTAAGTGCATTAGTAGAATCTTATGTATTAGAAGAGTTTTTTCCTTTGCCTGTTTGTATCACCAAAGCTAAATAGTGCAGATAATGTTCCTAATGTAGTAAACAGCAGAATTTGTCTACCTGTAGTGTCATTTGTAAATTGTCCCAATGCTCTAATTACTTCTTAAATCCCAATTTATTTCCATGCCATTCTACCCTCCTTTCTTAATAAACTTGTTTTTACTCCACTTTCTCTTTCAGACAATTTTTTAAATTAATATTTTATATCGAGATTAAATGCTTATGAAAAGTGCCTTTTCACCATGATAGTGCCCCCTTCTTAGAACTTTATTTTTCATTATTGCCAAAAATATATGAACAAATGGTTTTGACAGATCCCAACTTTAACTTTTTCTTTCCATTTAGCCATTCTTTTATTCATTTCTTGGTCACTATTGAATTCAACTTCAAAAATCTCTTTGGCTTAAGAATAAATGCATTGTCCCTTGGGGAATATTACAAAATTTTCTGTTTAGGCTATATCTAATTAACTATAAATTTGTCTTCTTCTCAACCAATGATAGGTCTTATCTGAATACTAATAAAAACTTTACTCCCTGTGAGACTGCAAGTACCAACTGTATGTAGTTAAATTTTGAAATTTAGGAGGCCAGCAGATGGCATACAGGTCAAGGCAGCTGAAAGCCACATGGCCCGCTATTGTGGTTCATATCCCAGACCTAACAGCTTGAAAAACAAGCCAGGCATGTGTGCCCAGAATCCCTAAAGGAGTAGGGATTGTGGCATGGCCATCACCCCTGAAGGATAATTTCTCACTTTTTGTCTCTCTCTCTCTCTTTCTACTGAGCACATGCAACTTATAGTTAAAAAAAAGAAAGAAAGAAAGAAAGGAAGGAAGGAAGACAAGAAAAGAAAGAAATATAATAAAAACTTTAAACATTTTTTTCAGGATTTAGGAAATGTTTAAACCGTCTTCTGTGGTCTTAGTTTACATCGTTGAAAATAAATCACTAAAACATAGGTTAGATCAGGCCTGGTTATGTCAATTTTTTCTAATTAGACAAGGTAAAGTAGTTAATTATCGTGTACTTATCTATCAGAACTTAGGTTCATTTACCCAGGAAAAATAGTGTCCAAGGAAATAGGGAAGAAATAACTGCATCCCTTCAGACCCAAGATGTTAGTTCTTTCCCATCAGATACTGTTGGATTGGGTGTCCTCCTGGGTTTTTTTTTTGTTAATTTTGCTAGTATTCCAGGTTCCTTACCACATGATAGGGCTTGAAGAAAGGGCCATTAGTAACAGGTCAAGGTAGGAATACCTTTGGGATAGAGCTGCTTTCTCCCTGCAAGCATTTTTGTGACTGTTAGCACTGATGACTGCAAGCCTTTATGCAATATTCATAATGCCCTATTGATATGCACTTTAATCATTCCAAAGAAGCCAAGAGTGCTGTATAATGATAATTCCTTCTTAATGCATATACCTTAACTGGTTAGAATTCTCTGTCCCTTTTTATTTTGAAGAGCTAACTTGGCCTAAGTGTCATGTGGATATTTCCTAAAATGAATGTATAGTAAGACTTAAGACTTTGAAATGTAACTGACTATAAGGAGAAGTTATTACCCATTAGCAGATAATTTTAGAATCACTGAAATGTCTAGCTTGCTAATCTATATGTTTGAGAGTTAATTAAAACTGGCCCTCCTTCCTCTATGTTTTGTGACATGTATATAAAAACATTATACATATACTTTCCTACCTATGTAGTATGTATAAACCATTGGTTCTCAAAGTATGGTCCTCAGCCCACCAGCTAGTGTCAGTATCATCTGGGAACTAGTTCAAAATCCAAATGATTGGGCCCTATCCCAGCCATACTGAACCAGAAATTCTGGGGTGGAGCCCAACAATATGTTTTAACAAGCCCTCCAGGTGATCTGATGCACATTCAAATTTGAGAACCACTAGAATAAATGCTATCTAGTGAGAGTTAAGTTTTTTTTTTTCATACTATACAGTTATATACATATTGTTCTTTATGTAAATCTACCTTAACCTGGTTTCCTATCATCATTTATTGGCAGTGATAATTTCTTGTTAGTACTGCCTAGAGAAATATAGTAGTCTTGTGTACATGTACAGTTAATCTAGTTGATATTTCATTTAACTTAGTTTGGCATTTTCCTACCACTTACTAAAAAGTTTACACTAAATGACTGATTTAAATAAATAGGTGCAATGTTCTATATTTCTTTTAATTATAACATTTAAGAAGCTAATATAATTGACGGGTGCTAAAGTCTCCTGTTTATCCATGAAATGGGTATATCGTAGGCAGTGTACTACAAGCTTTCTTTCCATTGCCTCTTACTTTACCAGTTGGCCATAGTTTTGCTCTGGCTAGACCAACTCTCAGAACGAAATGATCATTCCTTATATTTATATTTTTATCTGAGATAGTAAACAAGATGGCTAGCCAGGTCAACATAGCACCTTATTTCTTTTTTCAAAAGGTGAAACTTCTTTAAAAGTAGCTTGCTTTGTATAAGAATTGATGCAGTTAGAGCTATAGCAATGCTTGGAGCTTATGCTCAGCAGGATTTATTTACTAAAGTAAAATTCAGCGAGATAACACATTATATAATTTGGGCATTTCCCCCATCGCAGTTGTAGGCAACATGGTAAATAAATATAAACTGACCACAAGATGAATAGATTTATTAATTCATTTTAATTTCCTGTATAATTCTGTACTTCCATAATTTTTCTCAACTTCCTCCCACTGTTTACAAATCATCAATTAGTTAATGCATGGAAGAAGAAAATCACATTTCTGAATAAAAATAAATGTGTACTCACTTTATAAAAATTACCGCTGCTGTCTTAATACTAGCAGTGGACATGAAGTGGCTTAGTTTACCAACTTTGGTGCTGGCAAATACATAGGCAAACTGCTGGGAGATGCTCTAGTTACATTCCTCCTTTCTTACTCCTTTCCCCTCTCCCCTACTTTATTGCATAATATATTCCTCTACCCAAAGCATTCTACCACTATTATATTTGACTCCAACTTAATACCTCCTTTAAAAATTCCATGCTTAACCATATCCCCACTGCTTGCTTGCTCATGTTCTCTCCCTTCCGCCTCTTTCAGAAGTCATTTGCCTGGTTTAAAGATTTAGTAGAGATTGCTTGTTATTATTTTAGCTAATGAACCTCAGGACAACATATACACACATGGTATGCACACACACACAAGATCTCAGATGTTTGAGAGTGGGTTTGGAATCGGGCATCTGTGTCCAGTAAAGAAGTGTCCTGCACTGAAGTGATTGTGACTTTAGTAGTTACAGACTGATTTCAATGAACTTAAGCTCATTTCTTGTGATCTGTGAATGTATCTGCTCACCTTGTTCTCTTATTTCTAATTGATAAGCTCCAAGCAGTTGCTACTTTTTTGACAACTTTGAGTTTCGTTCACTTATTTTACTAGTCTTTTAACAAGTGTACTACAGATATTTCAACCTGTTCTCAAGTGGTTTAACTACTATTCTGCCATTTAAATTTTTTATTGACTTTTTATTTGCTTGAGCACGCTGATCAACCACTGAACTGCCTTCTTCCATTGTCCTGCAATGATAAAAGAGTTACATTTTTGTGTATATGGCTTCATAGTTGGGGTTTCAGAGCACTGATACCAGATATTTTCAGTTTGTTCTCCGGGGGAATTTCATTTGCATCTATGTTTTTAGCTATCTGTGATAACTTGTTAAATATTAAAAAGATATTTTGCTTCTATTGGAACATTTGTATACTCGCAACTATATTTCTGTAAACAGCTGCAGTCAAAAATAAAACATTGAAAGTTTTCATTTTGTAGTGACTGACTGTCTTTTTTCCCCTCAAA